TATATATATATATATATATATATATATATGCGTTAAAAAGATTCATTATATAAAAAGCATGAAAAACAGTTTCATTAATATTCATCTAATTAAAATGGTTAACAATGAAATAAATTCCTATCTTATTAATATCATTTATTGCCTTTTTTTTCTTTATTTGCTTTCAAGTGTAAATATTTATGAAATTTCACTCTTATAAAAGTATGCTATCGTTAAGAATAAATAAGCTTCAAGTGCCAATCAACATTACTATAAATTTTTCTTTCATTTAGAAATACGACAAAACTGTTTTTATTACTAGTTCTTTAAAATAATAAAAATTTCAACTCTTTAATGACATCTGACATTTGTTTATATATATATTTAAACAAGAAAAATGCTGTTTAAATTTATTTTATTTCACTTCTAAAAGTTTTGCACAAGTATACGAATGCTTTGCTAGTTTTATATTTTAATATTGGCTAACAAAATAAACAATACACAAAACATTGTATATCTCAAATACAGCTTCTTTTATTATGAAAATAATAAGCTTAATATAAAGTTAGCAAAAATGAATATTAAAATATAAAAGGTAATTATCACTTACACGACTATTATTTCATGTCGTTTAAAGGAATTAATCCATTCATTTCCTCATTTTTTGTAAACTTAAGAACTGAGGCCCATTTTTGTAATTCCTTTTACATTTTGGGACTGCATATGCATATGACATTATTAAAAATTGTATAATAATGGTATATATATGTTTATGATAATTGTCTATTACGAATAACGTATCCGACGGACAAACTGGGCTGTTGTTCAATAAGTGACAAATATTTGGAATTTGCTGCTTGTCAGCTATACACTACTGCATGTGACGTCACTTAAAGACCTTGCTGATCTCAACGGCCTTATTTTTCGATGACTATGAATAGTCAGGGTTAGTCACACACACACATGACGTAGATGATGAAGTCGATCATCATCTACTCCCTCTCAACTTTCCAAATATTGTCTTGAATTGAATCCTTAATATGGCGTTCCCCATGAAACGTAAAGTAATGCATGTTTCTTGTCAAATTTTTATAACTTAATAGTTCATTTAATTACATTAAGGCGCTAGTTTGGATCTAAAATAATCGATTTGATGCAATAGCATCATTGATTTTCAATTAGGGACAATCAGATTCAGAAAAAAAAACTTATTTTTAGTTTCGGTTTCGAAGTTTTGACTTTTTACAGAACTACGATTTCCGTATTAACTATCAATTGATTCAACAATATTCGATTATAAAATATTGGTGAAACGTTAGCGTTGTTCTTAATACTTTTTATCATAAATTAAAATGCGTATTTTATTTGTTTATTTCGGAATTTATTTAAATTTTGAGAAATTTCGTACCTATCTGAAATAAAAAGAAATTTCTAATAGAAAAACCATAATGTGAAACTTCAGAACCGCATCTAATACTGTACCAAGTACGATTGACTGAAGTATTTCTTTAATGTATGTATATGTCAAGTTTATCTTAATCGTGCACAGCTATTTTTAAAACATAATTTTTTTTCACTAAAAACTTTATTATTTTCAAAGTAAATAAAAAGGAAAAATTGTAATTGTTTTTATTTTAATGTTTTTCCCTATTTTATTATTATAATTATTACATATTAAAAATATTATACTAAAATTGTTTTCTTATGGAAATTTTTATGATACGATAAGGCATATTTAATGGTTCCAACAAAAAAAAAAGTTTAAAGTACGCAACATATTTAGCTTATGCATTATCTGAATATCTTAATCCTACTCTGAAATTCAAATTGCGGAACATTAA